ATACCGGCTGTGGCGGCCGCATTTTCTATCGAGGCAAGAACATTGTAGTCCCGTGTGCTCAGATTTGGGTGCACGTTGAACATCCCCAGGGGGTGAAATTTCAGGCACACTGCCCTATGGCGTCTCTTTATAATCGTATAGTAACTTTAGGACGTTAAACACCATATATCGATAAAATCGGAATGAAAATCACCGAAGGATCTGTTACAACAAGCAATCAGTGCGAACAAGATAACACACATACCACAAGCACGTGCCTACAAACCAAAATGCAGGGTTGCGGCAGCATGACGAAATAGTGGCGTGTTAAAAAAGGCAAAAAAAAACAAAAAGAAGGCACTGCTCAAAAACAAAAATACTATACCATGACAAAAATATTATCCTTATGACAACACGTCATAATCACAAGAGCCATAAACTTGGAATCATCAGTTATCCTGATGGCAGATCGGGGAAGGCGATTCCAGCCTATTCATGTATGGGAGATGATTGAATTGTAAAATTGGTTGATTTGGTGTGAGGGAATACCAACCTTATAATGATGATAGATGCAAGCAGCTACGTAAACGAAACAGGTAGTTTATTGAGTACTGGATTGTTGTAATATACCACATAGAGGTGGTTGAGGAAAGTTATTTCCCGACGTTATGAAAGCATAGATAATGACAAACTTGTTTTCATGGAAGTGACGTTTGATGTGCAATGTGAATTACGAAAAAAAAAACGAACGTAAAAGAATTGAGCGCTGACACCTATACGCTGACAACCTATTAATTAGAGGACGTAGATGAGAAGACGTATGACATGTCCCAACTCGCCTAACCGGCTACGCTGTTGAGTTGATAGTTCATGTGCTACCTTACGCCAATTGACAGAAAAAAAGAAGTATTCCACAGTTGCCGCGATCGCTAAACGCCGCCCGGAGAGTTTGCAGGCACATAAAACACTACAAAGTAGACGAGGAGGCGACCACCGCCATTGCTCGACTGGTAGCCGGTACTTAACCGGGTGCGAAACTCAAAGGTAGCTTCATCGGTGCCTGACTACAGAAGTTTTCGTTTCAGCCGCCTTACTTTTCTAAAATCCATAAAACAATATCTTTAACACACTTTTAACAGTCTAGTTAACGTGCTCTATAAATTTTTCACTTGGCTCAATTATGTGCTGGTTCTAATCGAGATTTCGATGGGACTGCTTCTGAGGTGCATCTCGCTTGTTTGTCTCAGTTCCACTCCTCGTTCTTGCACGAAGTAGCAACACAAGCTAAGTAGCTTTGCGTTTGAGCACCTTGGGCTGCCAACTAGGCACAATCTATATAACTGGTGAGAGGTGGACTATTTCAAGCTATGTCGCAGTACCTAGACGTTATAGGTATTGCGGAGAACTTTGCGGTAAAGCAAGTTTTACAATGAGAAGTTTTTAGAAAAGAAAATTATCACATGGCAGAAGTTAGAAGTTCATGATTTGGAGTGCAGTCCATGGCTTCGCCATGTGGTAACGTAATGGTTCTGTGTCTCTTGAAAGTTTCCTTCTTCCATAAAATATAAAGCCCAATATTTCTTTAAACCACGATTACCAGCCCTTTGAAACAAACTTCTGCCAGTGCTATTGGTCAAAGACACTGTGAGTAATATATGCCACTATACCCCCACCCCGGAAAAAAAAAAACGCTTCAGGTCTCCAAACAACTTTCTTATTTCCCACATAAGGAATACAACAAGCATCGACACTGCAATAAATTTGTCTCTGCTTAAATACGTTTTGGTGCGTAGTGCTTTAGGAGTACGGCTTGACGTTCAACTACTGCCTTTTGCGACGGTATTCTGAAGTGATCTATACATACCTAAAACAAAGTTAACAGTGACAAAAGCCAATGCAAAAGACATAAAAAAGGTCTTAAGTATTGTACACTAGAGAATTTCTCAAGTAATATTAACAGTCATCAACCTAAAATCACAAAAAAGACCCTTTGGCAACTTTCGGGCTGATAATTTTGCTCCTCAAGACAAGGCACCGCCGCCTCGCCAAGCGCGTGAAAGCCGAGTGAGTCAATAGGCTAGCCCATATTATGCAATGCATCACGCTACGTGGTCATGAAGCTGCAACAAAAGAAAAAAAAGAAAGAAAACGAAAGATCCCACTCATTCCTGGAGTCGAGCTCTTGCGAAGCAGTAGGCGAGTTGTGGTCTCTAATGCACTTTATTTTGCTTTGAGGCAAGCGTTCTGAGTTGAACCAAACTTTTTCAGCATTTTCAGTGATTATGGGCATGCCATCGGGATGCCAAGCGCAAGCCCGTGAAGAATTTTTGTTTTTCGGAAAAGGCGAGAGGTGACTGTCGAATATCTAAACAATCTGAGGAAAACACCTATTTTGATAATCGTACATATTTCAAGAAAGAACAATCTTCAAGGGTTGTCTTTGTTTGGCTTCTATATCGAAGCTGCATTGACCACAGTCGTTTATTATACTGACGCTAAAGCACCGATATTAGTTTTATAGAAGAGAAATGCGTGTGCTTGTGCGGTGATGCGAACATCACAAGAAGCGCCATTCGCCGTGTTCCGCCGCGTGTAGCATGGGTCGATCATATCTTCCGAGTCATAACATTTATGAGGGAATGTTCCTTAGATAGTAGTGATAGGCCATATTGATCACTGTCACCATAGCGGACGTTGTTACGATGGGCCACCACTGCAGGGCGTTTGCGTAGGCAGTTGCAAGCACAGGCGTACTCTGCGTTAACGCAGAATACGCCAGTGGTACATCTTCCACACGAGCTTACTCAGTGCTGGTGTACATTGCGATTAGCACCTCAATCGCATCAGATGCACTATGTCTGCGTTCGATTTCGACTCTAATCACGGTCTTCAATCTTTTAGTCTCTCAGATTTTTTCCTCACCAACCACACTACCAATGCCTGCACCACGCGATCAAGCAAAAGTCTTGAAAGTTCTTATCCGTGTTCCTAAGTTGATACTAACTGTCAATCACATGTGGCTCATACCCGCACACTTTGTGCCGTGGTATGCGCGTATGCGCCGCGCACATTGAAGGAAAGGGTTACATCACGTATGCGACAAGCACCTCACGCTATTCATCTGATGTGTTTCATCTTGCATAAAAATGATGAGTTATGCACAGAATCGCCATATATTCCTATTTTTTGTTTTTTTGTTTTGCACCATGTGACCTGAATCCGCTTTGTGGCAAGATGAAATTCAACAAAAATTTGGCAGTTACGTTTCATCATCTTGACTTTTTCAATCTCACTGATTCACACCAACTCTGGAAATTCCCAAGGGTCCATTCATTCGAAACAAAATCAAAACACAGCAAAAAAGAAGTCCGCGATTGCACGCGAAGCGGGCAAGCACGAAATCCAAGCAAATTTGTGTACTACCTGTTGTTCACATTGTGGATGAACGAACGCCGTGCGAGAGACATTTATAGTCAACATTAGGAAACTGTATGGGCACGTGGGATGCCGCGTCGACGAAGAACAGATCCCCACATAAATTGGAATGATTTTTTATTAACGTGGTTTTTATTGAGTGTTTATTAACGCTCTCACGGTGACTTACACCTTGTATACCCTGCCAAGCTGGGGGAATAATTACCGCCGCCGTCACTCAGTCGCAGAAAATCAGACGCGTTACTGACAGACCGCAGTTTTGGCCCCTGCCTGCGACAAGTTACTTTTCATCCACGTTTCTTTCTTCGAATTTACTATATATATATATATATATATATATATATATATATATATATATATATATATATATATATATATATATATATATATATATATATATATATATATGTCTGCGTAAATTGTGTGATTGATGCCTTCGATTCGCTCTAATTTTTTGATAATCCAATCATGACGAGGTTAAACAGCATCGGTGACACGACGGACCCTTGCGGTGTGCCAGAGCTGCCCATGTTCACTTGGATGCTCTCTTCCTCGTCCAGTCTAACCGTGGCAGTTCTTCCCGTAAGAAAATTTCTGATGTACTTGTACGTGTGCTCGCCTAGACTGAGTTGCGCAATTCGTTTTAGAATGGCTGTGTGCTCGACCAAGTCGAAGGCCTTTTTGAGATCTAGCTCGATTATTGCCCTCACGCCTCGTCCAATGGGGTCTATGACTTGCTCCTTTAGTTGTATCATGGCATTTTGAGTGAAGAGCCCTCTTCTGAAGCCGATCATGTTGCTGCGGTATACGTTCTTAGACTCAAGGTAGCCGTTAAACCTGTTCAGGCAAGCATGCTCCATTACTTTACCGACGCAAGAAGTGAGGGAGATGGGCCGCATTTTCTGGATTTCTAGGGGTTTACCCAGCTTAGGAATGAGAATCAAGTCGGATTTCTTCCATTCGTCGGGTATCTCCCCGTTTCTTCAGCACTTGTTGATGAAATCTGTCAAATGGCTTGTTCCCTGGTAGTCTAGGTTTCGGAGCATCTTGTTAGACACTTTGTCGGGACCTGGAGCTGACTTGGTCTTAATAGTGTGCAGGACTGCCCTGATTTCTTGCTGTGAAAAGCCTCTGTCAAGATCTTCGCTGGGAGAGCCCCAGTATTCCTGCTGTTCGACTGCCGGGGGTCTGCCGAGATAGAGCTTTACGATTTCATCAACCATCTGATGAATGTTCCCTTTATACCTGTGTTTTATCTTGGTCATTTCCGCTTTCACCGCCGTTCTGGTAGCCGACGGGTCCAGCAGGTGCTTGAGGATTTTCCATGTCTTGCCGGTGTTTATGTTGCCGTCCATAGCGTCGCACACTTCATCCCATTCCTGATGGCATAGCTGGGTACAGTGTGTTTCGATGTGCTTGTTTAGCTCGGCCAGTTTTCTTCTGATATTTCGATTTTGTTTTTTCCTAAGCAGCCTTTTCTGAATAGATTTTTTGGCTTTGACAAGGTGTGCGAGCCTGCTGTCCATCCGCATTGAGGAGGTTCCGCCACACTCATCTTCCTCTTTTCGTCGAGCCGACCAGTCATCTCATTCCATTTCGGTTGTGGCTTTTTCTACGTATCGTAGAAGTTCACTGCTCCATTCTTCTATGTTTTCGATGGGTCCCTGTTCTTTCTCGTTCCTGCTTTTGCGGAATTCGTCCCAATCTACGCGCCTGATTGTCCGTTTGCAGTTCCTTGTAGGAGGATTGCCTAGGGCGATGCTGAGGACCCTGTGATCACTTCCCAAGTCTTCAAAGGTATTTTCCCACGCGTATCGCCCGACGTTCTTGCAGAGGGTCAAGTCCGGCATGGTGTCCCTGTGAGAACCTACACCGATTCTGGTGTGCGAGGCTGGCTCATTCAGAATGGCTAGTGCGGCCTTTTTGATGAGGTGGGCAAGGTTTTTTCCTTTTTTCGACGAGTGCCCATATCCCCACTGCGTGTGTGGAGCGTTAAAATCTCCTCCGGTGACAAGTCGGGTGTCGCCTGTCATGTTCATCGTTTTAGATGCGGAAGCATCTTATACTCGCGCCTTGTAGTGCGCCGTCCGCACCGCTTCTCGAACATTCGACAGCTGACGCGCGCGCATGCGCCGTCGCGCCGTCGCCCACTCTTCCACCATCTGTGCATCCCTTCCTCCTCTACACACCGCGCTCGCTTCACTCCTCCACCATCTGTGCACCCTTCCTCCTCTACACACCGCGTTCGACATCTACAATTCTCCTGATTCTCCAGTGGACGCGCATGTGGCGTCGCGCTTCGAGAACATTCAACAGCTGACAGTGCATGCGCCGTCGCGCTGTATAAAATCAAGGTCGGCGCTCGCTCGCTCAGTTGCCGCTCGTCGGTTGGTTTGTACTGCGCGTCGACGTCCAAGGTCGCGGTGAAATGAATTCCAACGAATCCACAAACACAATGATCGACGTCCCTTCGACCAGCGCCGCCCTTTCGCATACGTGTGTACGTGTTCACTCATTTAACACCCCCTCCTACAACCACGTTAACCAATTTAGCCATCGACCCAAGTAAGTCGCAATTTAACACCCCATTTCACAACCACGTTAACCAATTTAGCCATCGACCCAAGTAAGTCGCACTTTAACACCCCGTTAACCAATTATATGCTCCGCATCCTCCTCAGTGTTCCCCCGAGGGAAGCTGCGGGCAATTTTTTGTTCATTAGTTCCTCGAAATTATGCTTTAGGTCCTTTTTAGATGGGCTGCTGTATACGTTTAGGACAAAAGTGCTGCTCTCCTTTTTGCTGCGTGGCACGACTTCTATACGAATGTGGTTGATATCCGTGACTTATTTCGTAATGTGTGGGATAGCAAATAGCCCCTTCTTCACTAATGTGGTCACGACTATGTCTCTCCCCTTTCCTTCTGTGCGTTGTTTGTGGGTGGTATACTAGGCAATTTTGGCGTGGTCGAATGTCTCCTGCAAAATGATCACGTCAGGTTTTTTTCTTTTTGTGGTAATTTTGATTAATTGCGCCAACGATGCTTTTTTATTAAAGAAGCCACGGCAGTTCCACTGCCAGATGACGAGTTTTCTCATTTTGGTGCCCGCCATGTCTAAGAAATTTTCTTGTCTAGCTCTTCGAGCCACTTGTCGTGTTTTAGTGCCAGCGCCTTACTTTCCACCTCACTGTCGCTAAGTCACACGACCAGCATCTCGAACATTTTCTCCCTTTTGTCCGACAGTTTTTTATCATGTCCTCGAAGTTGTCTGTTTTTTCGTGCTAAGACGGTGCCTGTTGACCTTTTTTTCTGAGTCATTTTGCTCTTTGGTCTTCGTCAGCGGGATTTTTCGCTTGGCGCCTGGTTGCTGTGTTTCCACTGCTACCATTTCTATTTCCTCATTCTCTCCCTCCCCTGTGGTTTCGGTCGCTGGCGTGGAAACGGCCGCGATGGCGGTCGACGAAGGCGACGTCTGTATCTGCATTTTCATGAGTATTTCATTGGGTGTGTGCTGTAGTTCATCATTTTTATAGCTGATTCACTGTTTTGCTTTTTTCGCTTTTTGTAGCTCCTGTGTGAGTAGCTTGTTTTCCGTTCTGTATTCCTCTACGCGTTTCTCTATGTCTCTGTAATTATCCCTAGCGTTACTATTATTGCCGGACCTTGTCAAACCGCGATTGGCCACTACGTCTGAGCGAGCCACCTTGTCTGGCGTCTTCTGTTTTCCTTGCTGCTTCATTGTCGCTTCGGGCGTCCTTCCCCTCGAGGTGGATCTCGGCCCACTCCTGGTCCTGGGTCTGATTCTGGGCCTTGACCCCAAGCGACGTAGCCCCAGGCTCCCAGCCTGGACTTGGCTCTGGATCTGGATTTTGATGTGGTATCATGGGCTGGTCGTGTGTTGCTGCTTCCCCAGGTGTCCTGATCTAGTGAGTCGGCTTCCCACTGGAGTTCTTCCTCGTTCCTCTTCGCAGCCCACCTTCGTTGCTTTACGAAGTATGGCATCTTAAAATTAGCTTTGCACGTCCGGTCTGCCGTGGGGTGTGCGTCTCTGCAGAGCTTGCACTTTGGTGTGCCTTCATGGTCTCTGGTAGGATTTTTGGCACCACGCACCGGGCACAACATGTCTGGCGGTCTTGGGCACACATCGGGCCTGTGCGCGAGCCTCCCGCACTCTTTACAAAAGTCTTTTTCCTTCCGGTAGAGGGAAACTTTCATCATAATGCTGTTGAAGTAAGCCCACATGGGGACCCTATTGCCTTCGTACAGCAGTATCAAGGTGGTCGTGCTTCCTAGTCTCTTGGCGTGCGCCAATGAAGGGTTCCTCGCGTTCACCAGTGCATGCATGAGCTGATAATGTGTGTACTTCAAGGGAATGTTGCGGATTATCCCCTTGGCCATATGTTCCAGCGCCGAGACGTACGCGTAGGTCTCGTACTTCTTCCCGTTGATTTTGAAATCCTTGATTTTGAAGAATTTCGTCGCCGTCTTCTCATCCGGTGGACTGATCACCAGAATATTTTGTGTGGGGTTGGGGCAGGTTGTCAAGATTTCGTCGTTGCTCAGCCCTGCTTCTTGGCGTATCGCTTCGTCGAGGCTGGCTCTGCACGTGTGTCTAATGCTCATCCCGTCTCTTTGTCTGACGATTATCTTGATGTCATCTGCAGGTAGCCTTGGCATCTTGCTTGCTTGTAAAATCTTGATCACGATGCTCTTCCCACCTCTGCGCGTCGGGCTTCTTGAGTGGGTGCATTTCTGTGCTGTCTCTTTGCCAGGGCTCACACGGCCCTTCCTTTTTTACATGACTTCGATCCAGCCCTCCGGGTCGCCGTCAGCGTCTCGTCTCGTCGGATCGCTATTGTCCTCTCCAGAATCATTCCTTAGAGTTTCCCTCCTTCTGCATCATCTACGTCCATTTCGGAGGTGCGTCCGATCCCTTGGCTTACAACTCGGCAGCATTGATCACCCTTCCCGAGGCCGGCGTCGAACTTGTCGGTGTAGGCTTAGCTGGGCACTCTTGTAGCTCGAGTGGTTTTTCACATCGAAAAAGCTTCAAAAAAGGTCTGTCACCAAGGTTGTTGGTGTCGAAGCGTTCGTATGGACTCGCTCTATCCGATGGTAGTCGATTGTCAGGTATTTGACTTGATAAAACTGTGGAAAACATTCATAAAAGGCTGAGCCGACATGAAGCGCATCCGCAGCGTTGCGTTGCCCGGCAGCGTCTCCTAGAATTCCTCGCCGTGTTCCTGACGACGACGCACCAATGACCATAAGTTGCTGAAAAATATGGAACTCACTCACACTCACCCATGAAATATATCTGGTGCTTTGAACTCACCCGGACTCTCACACACCAAGTTTTTTGTGAGACGAATCACTCACACCCGCTCTCTGGAAAATTTTGTTCAGCCGAACTCACACGAAACAAACCCACCAAAATATTACTGACCCTTACTCACTCCGTCTCACGATCATAACTTGATCCGAGTCGGTGGGAGTCCGAATGAGTCGACTCGAAATTCCGTTAGCGTAGAATTAGCTTTCTAGATCATAGTGTAAACGCTAATTAACACCAATATCTTTCGTAGTCACTGCTCTTCTTAGCAGCGTTTCATATAGTGCTTTCTAATACGAGTGATTTGTGCTCACTAACTAGCCAGATAAGTTTTATTGGGAGAGAACACTACATCAAATAGAATTATCAAGAATTCCTCTAAAAGAAGTCGACGGGGCGGACGTCACAACAACCCCTCGTAACTCATGCCTCTGTTCAATAAATATTCAAATGACGCATCAATTGAATGACATGTATAGGGTTTAACGTCCCAAAACCACCATAATATTATGGGAGGCGCCGTAGTGGAGGGCTCCGAAAAGTTTGTCGAGCTTGAGTTTTTTACATGCAACCAAATTTGAGCACACAGACCTATACAATTTCCTCCTGCATCGATAATGCACCCACCGCAGCCGGGATTCAATCCCGCGACCTGCGGGTCGACAGCTGAGTGGCTTAGGCACTAGACCACCGCGGCGGGGCAAATGACGTCTAAATAAATCCGCTTTGGAATACGTGTGAATAGGCATGAGTATAAACGTTAATCTAAGTAAGGCTGATCGTAACGCGGAATATTAATAGATATGGGTGCTGGTTACTAAATATGCAGAAATATACCAGTCGATCTCGCAGCTCTTGACTCCATTAATAAAACTATTTAGGTATGTGACATTGATAGCACGTTGCTTCCAGATAAACCACCTCATTATCAAACATATACGAAGAATATCAGACATCGCGTTATCGCACGCCTACTTAAGTAGCGTGAATGATAAGTAACCTTCAAGAAGAGTAGAACAATATGTCAAAATGCAATTGTGTGAAGACTGCAACTTAGAAGCAATCATTACTTTGAACTGCACAAAATCGCAATTTTTTAAACTTTTTATAGCACACACACCTTTGGCTGTTTTGATTAGTTCTAAGCACAGTAGCAGACTGAGAGCCGATTTATTTTATTCACTCCAGCACTGGACTGGTCAAACGTTTCTCTTTCGTACTTGCAGTTGGTGCTAAGACAAGATGGTGCTCTAAGATACATTTGCACATGTTGGAAAACAATGGCAGATGTTTGGGTGTCACTTTTGTAAATACAAAAACTCAGACTTGGTCACCCTATTTGGGCGATGGTGAAGAGTTTACGCGGGACTAGGAAGTCGTGGCGGGTGCTGTTTTTTAGTGTATTTCAAGATTTCTTTTTCATTATTTCGTAGTCTCTTTTAACTCTTATCTTTGGTCATTATGCATTTATTTCTTAACTCTCTTTATCTCTACTTCTTTCCCTCACTTTCTTCAGTTATGTTACTCTCCCTGGTCGTACTTCAGCTTTTCATACTCCTAGTTGCATCCCTCTATTTCTTTCTATGCTATGCTTTGCTCTCTCTTCTCTTGTTTTTCTTTTTTCCTCGCCCTCAAATATATCTTCCTCCCACTGAATTATTTTTCTCTTAGAAAATATATGTATCAGATTACTCCAGTGCAAGCTT